TTACCATCATTTTTTGGGTTTGGGCTTCGAGATCGGATCATTAGCCCTCGGGAGCCACCGAGTGGGCGGTGGGCGATGGGCGGTGTGTAATGATTATTTTCATAGATTTCTAATTTGTTGCCCAATTAGCGGCATTGAATTTTCCATTGAATGCGAAGCCATTAATGAATGAGTCGATGTCGATACTTGGACATTGGTTCGATCGAAGCATTGGTATTGGTTGATTGATTGAGGTTCCTCCTAATTGAATTACCCGTACTGTGTTTACATTTTCAAGGCTTCAAAGTTGAGGTAAGTTCCAGGCTCCACTTGTCAATTTCCCTTAGCTGTGACTTCTGCCGAATTTATTGCCAAATTGAGGATTAATTGTCTAATAACTGGCACTTGAAGCCGACTCAAACTTCAGTTTTAATTAACTTTTGTCTGGATTTTGACTCGATTTAACGATTTCAAATTGAAGATTTAATTCAACATTTACTTGTCTAGTTTTCAAAAGTTTTAAAAATATTTTTAATTTGCTGTAAATGAGTCCTTGACATATTTTTAATGAAATACAAAATTTTAAATTTGTTCTATTATGTATATTTTTATTACATAAATAGATAAATTGTAAGTATAGTTGATATTTCTGATTTAAAATGTCAAAAATAAAATGCTGTCCTTTAAATTTTGGTATTTTGTATTGTAATACATAAATAATAAAATAATAAATTTATTCTATTATATTTTATTTTAATAAATAAATATATTTCATATTTAATTTTGATTCAAATTATTTTCTATTTTTTCCACTTGATAACGGAACCAAAGCCCTATCATAATTTTTTTCCCCTTAACATTTGTGCATTTCACTGGGCTTAGTCTCTGCCATCTGCAATCTTCCAGTTGAAACTGGAAATGTAAGCTGCGGGTTCACCTGGCTAGAAGGCAAAGACAAAAACCCCATGGGGCTGGATAATCCAGAGCAGTGGATATCTGGGTGCCGAGTGGCTGCCTCAATTGCCGCTGTCCCCGGAGAAAATAAAGAAAGTCCCTAATCGCATTTGACTTTACTTTACCAATATCCCCAGCTGGCTGGCATGCGAGTTTGCCTCGCCCCAGTTTTCCACTGGGTTTTTCCTTGGGATTTTCCTTTGGATTTTCTTGCCCATGTTTGTTGTTCAGTTTGTACTGACAAATATGTGGAGCCGGCAGAATGCCAACAATATGCAGGTGCATATTGTAAAGGCAGATTGTGGTTTGTCGTTCCGAGTGCCTAACAAGTGCCAGCAAATGTACCGTGAAGAAACCATTTAGGATTAGTTTAATATGATACACAGAGCGGAGATGAGGAGGGGGATGTGGGCTTGAGGGCCTAGATAACGCTCCTGGAATAAGCAAACAGTACTTAAAACTGCCGGGGCAGGACTACTTAGGACTGGGGGGGTGGTCTGTATTCCGTACAAAAAAATATAGAAAAAGCCACAAGCAAACGGACTGAGACGCCTTGGCAAAATATTGGTGAGATAAAGCCAAGGCTCAGCCCGAGCTGCACAAAGGGAAAAAATGACAAATTTGCAAATGTTAAGACGGAAAGAAAACATCAACATAAGTTATAGGCTTAGTGCGTAATCGTTATTCGCCAAAGGACCAAAGGACCTGCCACGAACCAAAAAAAAAAGAAGCTCGGCAGTCGGTGGTTGGTTTCGGTGGTCGCCATGTGGCAACATGGGTAATGATGCCACCAGCGAACAAGCTGTGCGATATTTGCGGTTTAGCCAACTGGCAGTCTGGAAAGAGGAGGAGTCGCCCCAAAAGTAGAGCACAGTATTAAATATTCAAGCGATATTCAAGCGGTTCGATGAGGTCACACAAGGTGCACGAACCAATGAAGTCGTTAGACCAAGGGATATTGCCATTAATGGAACAACATTTATGGGGCTAAATACATTATAATATCGTTAAAATAGTGGCGCAACCTTCGGTGAATTAATTAAGAAAATTACTCAATTACTCAAAAATAGGATAGTTAAGCGTAAAATATTGTAAATTAATTTAATATGTTTTTTAAGTTTTAAAATGTATTAAAATATTACAGCAACAATAGGGCCTGCGGTCACACGCCTATCTTGCATTAGGTGTTTGCAACCCTGCAGTAATATATTAATTTTAAATACATAGTAGTTTACTCATTTTAAATAAATGTTGAAAATGTATTTATATACAAATCGCTCCCTAGTAATTCAGTTTATGATTTCTGATTTATGAAAAACATCTTGCCATTTTCCGTTCCTTGGTGGTAAAGTCGTTATCAGTGGTTTTGCTGTAAATCACGATGGTTTCGCATGTAATTGAGATTCGGCATATAGCCACTCCATTTCCATCATCTGCCTCAGATCATCGACTTATCTGCAGCCCACGAAATAAAAAACCGCTCGCCTCCATTAGACATTAGCCATGCGGATTTCCCTGGCTGTTCAAATTAAAAATTCATAAAAGCAGAAATGCGAAATTATGATGATAAAATAAACACAGAAAAGAAGCCGCAGACGAGGCGACGGCCAGCGACAGGCTAAGAGAACCGGAAAACTGCACTGGAAAAAATCCGTTAAAAAAAAAAACCTAAAAAGTTCAATTTCATAATATTGTAAAATTAAAGCATACCTAACATAACTTTCTTACTTTTCAAAGTAATACCTTTTTTTTGCTCCAAATTCTATTAAATCTCGTTAAATAGAGGGTAAAGTAATTTCTTAAAGGTCTTACTTACTTATACTAGTTTCAAGGAATTTTATTAATTTTTATACCCGTTACTCGTAGAGTAAAAGGGTATATTGTATTCGTGCAAAAGTATGTAACAGCTGGAAGGAAGCGTTCCCGACCCTATAAATTATATATATTCTTGATCAGGGTCACTAGCCGAGTCGATCTACCCATGTCCATCTGTCCGTCTGTCTGTCCCTCTGTCTGTCTGTATGAACGCTGAGATCTCGGAAATTACAAAAGCTAGAAGGCTGAGATAATCCACACATATTCTTGGGCCTCCTACGCAGCGCAAGTTTATTTCAGCCGAGCGCCACGCCCCCTCTAACGCCCACAATCGACCACTAATGATTTTAACGATAGTCGGGACACCAACCCGAGTACAGTGCTCGCACTCCCTTTAGCTGAGTGACGGGTATTAGATAGTCGGGACACCAACCCGACTATAGCGTTCTCTCTTGTTTTAAAGTAAATATCTTAGTTATTGTGTATTTTTACTTATGACTTAGTACTATTTTTTAATATTTTTTTATATTAGTCTTTGTTAAATAAATATTACATTTTTTTACTTTTATTACTACTTTTAACTTTCTATAATTTTCTTTTAATAACAAATTTTATGATATTTAAATTTTTCCCTCATTTGATAAATTAACGAATATTTATCTCCCCTTAAGCGGTGTTTTCTATTAATTTCTGACAGTGTACTTTGTGGAGGAGGGTAGCCGAGTGGGTGGATGTGGGTGGCGAGTGGGCGGCGGTCTGAACGTGACATTGGCTACCGGCTACTGTGAGAAAAAGCCAGCCGCAGATTCGGACCCAGGCTCCGGCGACTTGAGCGCTGATGATGTGGATAAAATAAACATGGGACATTGGTTTTGTACGGGTAAGGGGCAGGGGCTGGGGCAGGGGGAAGGGAAGGCTGGCCGAAAGGACGAGGACGAAAGCGTGTTTAAACATTAAAAGGACCATTAGATACGCCTTAAAGTATGCTTCAAGTAGATTATCTTCCATCAGTTTTGTTTGCTTACTTGGAATTGTTTCGCTTCATTTTTCTCGTTTGCAAACAGACACACACACACACACAGACAGACGCAGTTTACTTGGCCTGTGAGTGTGTGCGAGTGTGGGTGCGCTTTCCTTTTGGCCAAGGGAAAGCATCTTTCGGAGGCGAAAGCCAAAGCCAAAGACGAAGAAGAAGACGAAGAAAAGCCCGAGACGAAGACGACGTTATTATAAATTGTGCGCGTGTCCTTGTAAAATAACATCTAGTGAACCCAAAAGGCCCTGGTCCACCCCACACCACCCTGGTCCACCCTAAGTCACCCTGCCCCACCCTACACCACATTCTGGTCAAGTCGTGGCCCCGGCAATGCTTCTTAAATTACCAAGAAGTGCGCTCTGGGTGGCCATGGCTCACGGCTCTTGGCTCATGACTGATGGCCAAGCCGCTGGGTGGGTGTTGCCGAGTGGGTGGTGCCAAGTGGGTGGTGCGCCCACCACCCAGCCTTGACTCAATTTAAAGCCATCCAATTGGTCGTAAATTTCTATTTCCGTCCTTGGCGACTCGGACGCCCGGAGATCGAGAGGTTTATCTCGAAAGAACATCATGGTCTTTGTACCTGGTGAAAAAAACACTTAAGCCTCAACTGCAAGTCAGTTTTAAATTTCAAGAAAGTATTGTATTTAATCATATTTTCTGGCTTAATGCTCTTAAGTTTTATGGGTTAGTAAAAAACAACAATGTAATTCCATTTTATATACATTTTGTATACTATATATAAAGTTATAAAAGATTTAAACATTTCCATTAATAATTTAAAAAAAATAAAATTTGTCCAATTAAGCAGCATTTAACAGACATTTTTAGAAGGACTTAAAAAATACATATTTTGAAATACCTACATTTTTCTAACAAAATGTTGTAGAAACTCCTAAGGTCTGCTAAATAAATTAAAAATAATATTTATAGTTTCCCATAATTATTGGTAAGTCCTAAAAAGATATAACTTTATTAGATTTAATTTTCCGCTGATAATATTAATATAATAAGGTTTCTGTTTCCTATTTCAGGCCATTTATTAGTGCTTTTAGCTTTGTAGCAAGGCAATCGATGTTCGAATCTTAGGACTATCAGCAATTAATTAACACCTGGCGAGTCCTCGAAATCAGCTGAGTGCCATCACCAATTACATTAGCACCGCTTCGCAGATGTCCTGCCATCGGGAGTCCCGAGTCCTGGGTCCTGGCATTCAGTCATGCACCTCGCTAGCCACTGGCTGTTCTCCGGCAGCCTTCTGCTGGGGATTCTGGTTGTTGGTAGCCGCGAATTCGGTCGGAGTCTGCTCATCTCCCGGATGGGCAATCGGCAGGATGAGCTAAACACGCGGCGTCTGGCGAGTGCCACCATTTATCTGACCAGGAAATACATAGCCAGCAAGATCAACACACTGGTCGTCCGGCAGAGCTGCGCCGACTGTCCCTACGAGCTGACCCTCCGCCAGCGACAGCTGGTCGACCAGGTTCTCGAGAGCCTCGCCCCCGATCTGAGTGTCCTGCTGCACAGGGGCACGCCCGAGGAGACCTCCTGGGACTACACCCTCTTCGTGGTCAACGACCACACCGCCTTCAAGTGAGTTCTTTAAATTAATCTGAAAAATTATAATTTTATTTTAAAAATTTAAAATTATTTTATAATAACTATTCATAAATTTATGTTACTTATTACAATTTATGGTAATTAATTATAATTTTCCTTAATTTATCAATTTTTAAAATATGCATATTTGATTTAAAACCAGGGACCGTAATCATTATAAGTGAAAAAATAAAAATCTCCATTTAATGATTATTTTGTAAGCGAAAAAAATATCGCTCAGAAATAATGATTATTATGTGAGCGATATTATTTCGCTTAAAAATATCACTCAAAGTGCGATTACAGCCGTTCTGTACGGAATTTTACAAACTTTTAAATTTCTGCTTGTAGGTAGAACCACGGAGCACACATCGAGTTAATAAAAGAAGGTGATTTCTTTGTATAAACTTTTAAAAACGCGGTTTTTAGTTGACATGAGGTATGCTTAAATACAACAAGTTGTATCAACCTTAGAACTTTATGTCATTTATTTATTAGTAAAACGACTTAACAAGATGTTATGAACTATTCCACTTAGATCCAACCCGACATGTGGGCTGGGTGTTAGTGTGTTGGTCCACCGAGCTGTAAGCACGAGTTCGATTCCCACAGAAAGTGTTTTTTAATACAAAAAGATTTTTTTTTTTTTTTAAGCGGTTTATACAAAGAAAATTTATTTTTTTCTTAACGGAATATGTGCTCCGTGGTTCTACCTACAAGAGCACATTTAAATCTTTGTAAAATTCCGCGTAGGATGGATGCAATCCCACTTTGAGTGATATTTTTGAGCGAAATATATCGCTCACAAAATAATCATTATTTCTGAGCGATATTTTTTTCGCTTACAAAATAATCATTAAATGGAGATTTTTATTTTTTACTCAAAAAAAATAATCATTATTTTCGGTCCCTGTTTAAAACACAATTCGTAAGTCTGAATTTTCTTATTTTTGTTTGAAGAAATTTTAATTTGTGAAAAATATAACTAATTAAAATTTGTTTAACTGTTGTACCACATTTAAGAAATAATTTAAAAACTTGTAAGGTTTTTTTTATGAATAATAGAAGCAAAAATTTATTTGTAATATTTTATTTGTAGTTTTTACTTCACCAACGAATATTTAAGGTTAATTAATATATTATTTGTATTTTCAATCCCCTTTTTTTAGAGATCATGTATTTACCTTTCCCGATGAGCTCCTCGAGCGGGAGTTCTTCTGCGTGGTGGTGGTGACGGAGTTCCAGAACCCAGCGAGCGTCGAGCGGACGGTGGGCCGCATTGTGGCCTCCAATCTGCGGCTGCCGTTCGTCAACGTGGTGGTAGTGGCCCAGGTGGAGGACGGCACGGTGGCCACCTACAGCTACAAGCTCTTCAAGGCCAACTGCACTCCGGGCATTACGGTGAGGCGGATCAACCACTTCGACAGGATGACCGGAATGCCGCTGCAGAAGATGCCCGATCTGTATCCGGTGCGCCATGGCCACCTTGGCGACTGTCCGCTGAACGTGGGCGCCAATCACCTGCCGCCTCACCTGATTTACAAGCGGCACAGGGACCCACCGCCGCCCAGCAACGAATCGATTCCCGCCCAGGATCTCTCGGGGATCGACTGGGATCTGCTCCAGCTGCTGGCCAAGGCGCTGCGCTTCCGGATCCAACTCTATATGCCGAACGAGCCCAGCCAGATTTTCGGCGAGGGCAACGTTTCCGGATGCTTTAGGCAGGTGAGTTTGAAGCATTTCTGAAATAAAAAAAATAAATAAATAATTAAAATACAACCAACAAATTAATTATAATTATAAAACTCAATTTAACGACAGTAAACTTAAACTACTGTAAAACAATTTTCTATTTTTCTATTTTATAGTAAACAAATTGAAAGTAATTAAACTTTAAATTATGTTAATATTAAGTAGGTATATAAAATGCTTCAGGTGAATATGACTTAGATCGTATGTATTTAATATTTCCTAACTTGATTTAAATATTTTCTAAATAAATCTTGCAATTTGTTTTGTATTTTTTTTAAAATTTAATTTTATATTTAGTTTTGAGTTAAATTTTCAGCTATAATTAATTAATTAAAAAACAAGAGAGAACGCTATAGTCGGGTTGGAATCCCGACTATCTAACACCCGTCACTCAGCTACAGGAAGTGCGAACGCTGTGCTCGGGTTGGTGTCCCGACTATCTAATATTCGAACCTTAGCTAAAGGGAGTGCGAGGGAGAAAGATATATACCGTTTTTTTGATTGCGTATAACTTTTTAATGAATGGTCCGATTTAAAAAATGTCTTCTACATTTCGAAAGGTATAAATATACACAACAAAATTGCATTTATACTTTTCGGAAATCTTTAAAGATGTGGGCGCAGGACACATTTTAAAATCGTTAGTGGGCGATTGTGGGCTTAAGAGGGGGCGTGGCGCTCGTAACCTTCTGGCTTTTGTAGTTTCCGAGATCTCAGCGTTCATACGGACGGACAGACGGACAGACGGACATGGCTAAATCGACTCGGCTAGTGACCCTGATCAAGAATATATATACTTTATGGGGTCGGAAACGCTTTCTGCTAGCTGTAACATACTTTTGCACGAATACAATATACTCTACAAGTAACGGGTATAATAAATGCAAAACAAATTGCAAGATTTATTTAATTGTAAATACTAATATTTTGTAATTTTCTAAATTGAACAATTGGGGTATTTGTACATCCATTCCACCCCCTTCCATTTCCTTCCACTCCCCTCCAGCTGGCGGACGAGAGCGTGGCGATAGCCATCGGCGGCCTGAGTGGCTCGGACAAGCGCCGCTGGCAGTTCTCCCGGTCGACGGTGTACCACCAGAGCCACTTTGTGATGGTGGTGCGCAGGGATCGATACCTGGGCCGCTTCGGGCCGCTGATCCTGCCCTTCCGGGGCAAAGTGTGGGGCGTGATCATCACGATCCTGCTGCTGGCGGTGCTGAGCACCTGCGGGCTGCGCTCCCGCCTGCGTGTGAGCCGTCCGCTGGAGAACCTGCTCCTGGTCAGCGTGGGCAATCCCATACCCACGCAACGTCTCCCGGGCACTGGGTTCCTGCGCTACCTGCTGGCCAGCTGGCTGCTGCTCACCCTGGTGCTCCGCTGCGCCTACCAGGCGCGACTCTTCGACGTCCTGCGCCTCTCGCACCACCGGCCGCTGCCCGAGGATCTCCTGGGACTGATGAGGGACAACTATACGCTGGTCTCCAACGGCTATCACGACTTCTATCCGCGGCAACTCACCCGCCGCCTGGGCGAGTCCTTTGCGGCCCGATTCGAGAGGGTTCAGCGAGCCGCGCCAGGCGAACGGCTGACCACCATCTCGCTGGTGAGCAACCTGGCCTACTGGAACCACCGGCACAGGAACACCAGTCGGCTGACCTTCGTCCGCCAGCCCATCTACATGTACCAGCTGGTCATCTACTTTCCCCGCCGCTCCTTCCTGCGCCCCGCCGTCGATCGCAAGATCAAGCAGCTGCTGAGCGCCGGCGTGATGGCCCACATCGAGCGGCGGTATCTGCAGTACGTGGACAAGCCGGATGTGGCGGCCAATCACCCGGAGCTCCTGCCGCGGATCACCAACAAGATAATGGAGGGCTGCTATCGCATCCACGGACTGGTCATCGGCCTGGCCACCGGCATGTTCCTGCTGGAGTGGCTGTCGGGTCGCTGGGATGGCAGACTGCGCCGCTGGATGGAGTGGGTGCATCAACCGAGTCGAAGGACAACGAAGTAGCTTTACAAAAATTAACAACATTTTTTTGGTATTTATCAAAAGGTAAAGAACATTTTATTACACTTTTATAGTTAGTTTTTGGCTAACTAACGATTAAATAAATATAAATAAAATTGCAAATAAAAAATTAATTGTTTAAGATTTTTTTCTGCCAAGATTAAGCTAATAAAAATATCATAACCAATTAAATATTTTTTTTCATACTAAAAAGTAAATAAATTGTAAGCCCTTAATGAAATAATAATAAAATTATATTAATATTAATTAAACACAATAAAAATGTAAGAGCTTGTGTTTTTATTAATTATTCAGAATGTGTTATTATATAATTAGAAAAATCACTAAGGTTGTTAATTCTCTCTAAAGATGTGATCAGACTAGTGATTTTTGTCGTTTTCTTGACTAACATAGTTCCGATTTTTTTGATAAAATGTATTATGTTATTTATAAAATAATATTTAATCATTTAATTTGTCAATTATGGTAAAACCAATCGGCTAATTAAAAGCCTGGAATGAAGTGCAGTCCTTCGTTAATCGTTCGGAACCCAGCAGATGTTCCTCCTCGTCTTTCAACCTTATTCGATGGAGGAATCTGGGGATCTAGGAATCGATGGTGTGATGAAGTGATGGTGGAATCTAAGTGGTTGGCGCCTAAGCCAGACATGCTGCACTTAGATGGATTTTTGTGCGGTGGCCGGCTGGCCTTAAAAATTGATTTAAGACTTGTAATGCATTGGGGGTGGTGCTATTTCTTTTTTTTGTATTTTTCACCCAGCCCACCCACTCTTCTCTGCCACTCTGCACCACTCTTAGCCATGTGTGAGCAGCGGCAACTGGCCAACTGAACTGGCCGAGCGGCACGGAGCGGCACTTGAGTTAAGCTGTGCAAACGTTTGCATAATCACGTTCCAATTTAAATTGCTCTATTTGCCGGGCTGCCACTGGCCACCGCCCACCGCCCACCGCCCACTGGCCACGCCCACTTGTCGCCTCTCGAATTGGAAAAACCGAACCACTTTTATTAGCCGAGGGGTGGGATGTCTTCTATCTATGTATCTGTATCTATGTAGCTGTAGCTGCCCCATCTGTTTGCGGAGACTAGGGAAAAATGGGATTCCGTTTTCCGTTTTTACTTGGTCGCCATCCATCTGTGTGTCCACTCTTCAAATCACTGTTTCCTGTCCTCGGTGCGTAAACAAAAGGCAACAGTTGATAGTTGATAGTTCCGAGGAAAAGCCCATCCATTCGATTTACATAGCCTGCATATTGCCATCGAGAATATAAAGTCGAGATGAAAGCATTTCTTGTTTAAATGGGCCAAACAATATGGGGGCATACTATTTACTTACATTTAGTTTTTTAGTAAAAAGGGATACGATTTTAAAAATTTTGAAAAAGAATAGTTAGGCTCAGATGACACATTTAATTTTTAACGTCATTTTATTGTAGCAATTTTTCTTGAACTGGACTTCAAATGAGCGCGAGAAAGAATAAATTATTTTTGGTTACTCTGCCACTAATAAAGGCGCGATATGATATTAGTCCTGAATGAAATGAAAAATTGTCACAATAAATTGACGCTAAAATTGAATGTGTCATCTGAGCCTAAGGAACTTAGTGAATTGATCTAAGTTTTTTTAAAGTAAAGTCGAGTTATAAAATAATTTGGTTTTAAATGGGTGAAAACTTACATAGAATGTAATAGATATTATTTGCTCTTAGTTAATTTGACAAATATATATCAAGAAATAGAATTATTAAAAAAAAGGATGTTTATGTTTTTTCTATTAAAGTTTGTAATTAGTTTAAATTTTATTTTAAATTTGTTGCATGAAATTAAATAAAAAATGTAGCATATTTTTTTTTTATTTACTTGGCCTTTTTTACTTATTGTTTCTCTCGTTCACTTATTAAATTTAGAGCTACTATTAATTTAAAAAAAAAACACTGGCTTGGATTAACATCACGGCCAGATGTTGCACAATTCGTCCTTGACGATCGGCTCGCCGCTGCGTCCCTCGTCCTCCGGCTGTTTGGGCGGGAAGACGCGCTTGCCGATGCCCGGATTGATCTGGGTGTTGTGGAACTTCATCATCAGCATGTCCCAGTCGTAGATGAGGCCTGGCCGCAGGTTGAGCCCGTTGCGGAGCATCCGGAACATCCGGCAGATGGTGTCGTAGTCGGGCTTCTCGTAGAAGCCCATGCCACGGCAGTAGTTCAGGTACATGGTGAACTCGCAGGGGAAGCCCTCGCACAGCGACTCCACGCTCACCGATATCTTCTTCTCGTGGATGCGCTCGTACTTCTGCAGTTTCGTCGAGGCCTTCAGATCCTGCCAGGGCAGCGAACCGCGATTGAAGTACATGAGGACATAGCCGACGGCCACCATATCGTCCCGCCTCGAGGATTCGATGCCCGCATGAGAGCAAATCGATGCGTAGCGGGCGGTTCCTGTGAGTAGATTAGTCGAAACTTCGTTAGAGGTTGTTATCGAAATAATCGATATTATCGCTAATAAAGGAAAATCTTCCACAACTAAGGGAAAATCATAAGAAGAAAATTATTTAAAATTCATTCTTGAATCATAGCACTTTAAAGAAAAAATCGATCTAAATTTTACTGCGATTAAAGTTAAATAAAGTGTAATGTTGACCTTAAAGTATACCACGATACCATCAATAATCGAGCGGTATATCCTAAATTTTATAAGAATAGATATTATCGATAAGGCCATCGATTTTTAACCAACCCTACCTGTCAGCGGGCGCTCCTCGCGATACGGTATATGCACGCCCGTCGTGATGTCCAGGAACTTCTTCGACAGCCCAAAGTCAATCAAGTACACCTGCTTGGACATGGTGCCCAGGCCCATCAGGAAGTTATCGGGCTTGATGTCGCGATGCAGGAAGCCCCGCCCATGGACGTACTCCACGCGCCGCAGCATCTGCTCGGCCAGCAGCAGCACCGTCTTGATGGTGAAGGCCCGCTCGCAGAACTGGAAGAGCCGCTCCAGCGAGGGTCCCAGCAGATCCATTACCATCGCCTGGTAGTGCTGCTCCTTGTGGAAATACCGAATCCGGGGCAATCCGTGGGCCGGCCGCAAGGCCCTGTACAATCGCCTCTCGTAGTTCAGCTGCGGATGACGCACCCGGCTGCTCTCCACCTTGATGGCCACCCGTTCGCCGCTGTGGATGTAGATGCCCAGGTATATGTCGCCGAAGGATCCGCAGCCGATCTTCCTCACCACCCTGTAGTTGCCGATCCGCACCTCGCGGCTTTGCGACGATCGCAGTCGCTCCATTTTCCGGGTTTGATCAGAGTCGTTGTCTCTTTTCTTTGTGTGTTTTTAAGTTTCGATCCGAATGGGAGGGCTTACTAAAAACTATATGTGCTACCGATAGACTGAAGGAAAAATCATTGGGTTCTCTGATCGGTTTTAATATTTTTAAGAGGAAAAAAAGGTGACTTGATAGGAACTGGGAAATAAAATATAAGAATTTCACTTTGAAGAAACTAAAAATACCAATAATAAAATCACAGAAGTAAAATTTGGTAAATTACTGGAGAAGGTGTCTAAAAGTATGCAATAAAATGTGTAAAACAATGGTGTTGGATACTTTCAGACGGTTTTGAAGGTGATTTCGAAACCCAAAAATAATATTTAATGTTCATTTAAGTAAATCCTAACAAGTGGCCTAACATATTAGGTATCCGCCCCGTTGATCGCTGAGTGGGGCGCACTTTAAGTGCGACTTAAGCGAATCCTTGGCCACAATTGAACCCAATCCTTTAATGTGCCATCCTGTGTGTCCTCTGCTTGTGGGGGTGTGTACTTGTGCGTATCGATTATCCTGGCAGACGGCGGCATCCGTAGACGGAGACACAAATGCACAAATGAGGAGGAACACCATGAGGAGGAGCAGGAGGAGGAGGTCGAGTGGAGGCGACGAGGACGGATCAACTAGCCAGTAATAATGTCTTTCGCTGACATTTGACATTTTGGCTATATATCACTCACATTGTGACAACTGGCAACTTGGCATTCAAATATAGCAGGAGCACCAGGAGCCGGGCTCTCAGATGTTTAAGAACAATAAATTTGTGGGCCTGGGCCTTCGGCCTGTGCGTGTGTGCCTCCACCTCCTTTCTCCGCCTTCTCTCTTTTCCTCACCATCATGACCCGCCATATCCCCCGATTTGCCCATCCCCCCCTTGGATCGCCCCGTAAACGTGTATATCCCCCTGGCAAATGTTCGGCAGCAGCCTTACTGGCTGCCTGCAAACCCAATGACAAGACGGAAGCGACATATTTGAACTGGAATGAAGCGGGATTGAGGCTGCAGCCGGGCCCATTATCATCATCAGTACAGACTGAGAAAAATGTATAAATTTATATATTAAGAACTGAAATTAACAGCTACCAAAAAATATAAATATTTATAATTTATATTTATAAGCTTACTAAATTACTGATTTTAATTATTAAATTTTAAAAATATATTTCATTTTTGAGAAGTTTAATTTTATTTTAATTTTAAATCCCGTGGTGTAAATTTATTTAAAAATACTTAATTTTTACAAGTTTTAAAATTCCTTTATATGTGAAAAGTGGGAAAGTCTGCTGTAAAGGTGTCTAACAGTATGCAACAGAAAAACAAATTCGTGCTTCGGACGGAATCCGTTATAATTTTGGACTCTTTATATATTATTGCATACTCCTAGGCGCTTTACTCTGATTTCAAATTCAAAGAGAGTATATACTTTTTCAGTGCTGGAGCTAGAACGAAAGGAGGAGCTGGAAGCCTGGCATTTACATCATAACATGGCCGCCTGATGGATAGACAGATAGCCAGGCATTAGCATTAGTGGCCACCACAATGGGTATGCCGATGATGATGATGTTCTGGGATGATGATAATTATCAGATGGCTGCGCTGATGAAGATGATGGGCAGATGATGATGACGACAGCAGCTCAACTCGACGAGGATGAGCCTGGCTCGGATTTGGACTCCGGTTCGGATTGGGACTCAAATTCAGATTCAGGTTCAGATTCCGATTCAGTAAGCGATTCGCAAACCGATTCCGATTCAGATCCGGACTCAAAGCTAGACACTGCGTCTGGCCGTGCGGTTCTCGGTGGGCGTGGCCGGATGCTGATGTTGAAACATGCGGGTAAATTATCTTTTCATTTCCATCAACGTCGTCGTTGTCGTGGCTTTCAGTGCGACTGTTGTTGTCGTGGAAATTGCCACTTCCATCCGCCTGGCCTGGCCTTCCAACAACCGACTCCCCATTTTTCCGCCCCACCTGCAACTTGTGGTTACAACGGCAACACATTCCCCAATTCGAGGGGATTGAAAATCGCCATTCAATTGTTTGGCTTGTTGTGTTCGTTTCGCCACGCCCACTCCTACGCCCCTGAAGGTTTCGGGGCCTCATTAAGATGGAATTGGAGGTCATTAAAGAGAGGCCTGCGGAAACCTCGGGGCTTTAATTGGGTTCTCTGAATTAAATGGCAAAACTGAAACCAAAATCTAGTGAAAAGTGAAAAGAAAATGCTTATATTAATATAATAGAATTTATTCGATTTGTTCTCTGTTTAAGAAAAGTTTCTACAATTAAAAAACCAAATTAGAGTTTTACAATCTCTTATTGGAGTGCCTAAAAGTAGGCAGTGAAAGAACAAAGTCAAATTTCCGACCTAAAATATTTTAGTGCACACTTTCAGACACGTTAGTGATTTTACCTTATGGATTTTCCTTTCCAAAAATTAATTTAATAGGTGTCCTGATTGGAAATGGATGCCGCTAGCCCCTTTCCTTGCCGTCCAGTTGCATTTTCCCCGTAAACGATAACTTTGCCGGGTGCAAATGAGTATTAATGAATATGAAACTTATCCTGTCGCTGAACGAACTAACTTGCCAACGTGTCGAGAACAAACGTGACAAAAGTTTATGTAGAGCCGGCAATTGCACAGACAGAGAAAGACAGAGACAGACTGCACCGGACAGAAAGAGGGAGAGGGCAACAGGGGGGGGAAAAGAGACAGCAAGTGAGTGGAGTCCGCTTTGATGGCGCTGAAGTTGGACGAACAACAAACAGCAAAATATAAATGACTTTAATAGCTCATCAATGATTCAGGCGGAAATCCGGGCTGTCCAAGTGCAGTCGGTTTATTGGATACCGGAAAGGCATTATGTTGCTCTCTCTCTCTGTCTCTCTATCTTCCCTCTCGCTGCCTCGTTGTAGTCGTCCCGCTCTATTTGTGTACTTGTTTGATTGTGCTGACTGGAGTAGTCTGTCTGACTTTCTGGTCTGGGGTTTTCGGATCGAAATCGTGGGGTTCGGGGTTTGGGGCTCGGGGTCTTCCGTCTGCTTAGCTGCAATGATTTTCACGCTGCCTCCGAAAAGTATGCAACAAAATTTGCATATTGTTTTGCTCCTGCACTTGCCCCCTGCAATTTGTCTCGCTCCCTGTTTTTCACACCCCTTCCATCAGCACATCATCTCTGGTTGCACGCGAAGAAAATTCTCTTTTGCGTTCCTTACATTAATTATATATTGCTAAAAATAGTTGCAGGTGTCTAAATTAGGCAATAGAGAAATTAATTAATATTTCCAAATTAAAATCTAATTGAAAATATAGGCTTGCATACTTTTAGACACCTTAATTAATATTGATTTAAATCCATTTTTAAGAACCTCAGATGAGTAATTTAAGTGCTGCTCCTGACCAAAAAGTTTCTGTTAAATTTAATAGAATTTATTAAGTATTTTTATAAAATGTATTTTCTTATTAATATTTTAACGTTAATTAATCTACCTCGACCATAAATTAATAATAAATATTAATTTTATAACCTTCAAATTTATAAATTCTGGAGACTTGGCTGGGACTAATTTCTCGCAGTGCTCTTTTGGCATATGCAGCCCATTTGCATTTGCGTCCAAGTCAACTCTCACTTCCATTGGCTCCCCCTTTACACCTGTTCCGACGAGAGTGTGGAGTGTGTGTGTGGTGTGTGCATTTGCATCATTATTATCATCATTATAGATGGCACATGGCCAGTTTCCCCATTGGCCATGTGACAGTAGCCGCTTGGCTTTTGTGTCTCATTTATTATGCAAATCCGAGCCAGGGGTCGAAAACGAGGCGTGTGGCAGGCGTGGGGTTAAGTCCGGATGAAGGGTGGTTAAATGGTAACGGGAATGGGGATTGGAAGTGGGGACAGTTTCCTTTATTCCTTGGCTGATTGTCCGATGGCCAAAGAGTTCAAGTTTTGCAACAATTATGCCGCAATAATCATCGATGTGCTGCCATTGCCTTATATGCACTCTGGCATTTGCGCAGAAACAACAATGCTTATCGCATATTAATGAAACGACAGCAAATATTACAAATCAACGCAATTGGAAAATTTATTCAGCTCCCTTTCCTTTACCGCAAATATTATTTAAAGTTTCGGCAAACACAAATCGAATCGGACAGAAGGGACTGGCTATGAATCGAAATAGCAAATACACTTTTTATTATTTAAAGCAAACTTTGGGGGAGAGTTAAGTGAAAGTCCTTGGAAAACATACAAAGCTTTCTATTATTAAAGCGAGCCTTTAAAATATCGGTTATTCCCACAGAAATATCTGTCTTAAAATAGGTGTATAAAAGTATGCAACGATATATTTTTAGCCCAAAAGCCTACAGGAAGACGACCACACTTTATTCACTGCATACTTTTAGGCTCATATGTAAATGCAAGAAACCCCGAAAAAAGGCAGTGTATCTCTTACGGCCCAGCTTATGGATAATGAAAAGAGTGAGTGGCAGCACAATAATAAAAAGTAAATATAATTTCAATTTTTATTCTCGCTTCAATGTTAATCAATTACGTGCTTTAATTGAAATCGCCAAAGTCAATAGCGAGCATCAAGTAAAAGCAAAACCAAAAGCAAAAACAAAAACAGAAACCATTTTGGCATATATATGGGCAGCACACACATATTATTGTGTGCGTTTATTTATCTATGAATTTTTAAGCGGCCAAAAGATCCCGGCCATCAGCCAGCAGCCACTCATTTTCACTCCGGCGGACAGTCGCCGATTGCTGTTTGCCTACGAATTGCTTTTCAATTAACTCTAAGCCGTAAAAACATAATTGAAATGCGGCCACCCCTTCTCCGCGATGGAGATGCCTTTGTCCATTTGCCGGCCGCCGCGCAATAAACCAGTAAGATGTCAAAGGTCGAGGCTCTCGACCTGGAGGTACTCAGTACTCGGAAAAAAGCTGTAGGCAATCCAACATTCCTGTGTTGTCCACTTAAAAAAACGTTAAGGTTGTATGTATTATATTAGATTATATTTTGTTACCAAAAAAAGGCACTTTTAAA